TACAAGTGCTCTGACTGCTTAGCCAGAGAGAAAAGCTGTTCTGCCCCCACAGTCAACATTGTGGGGCCTTCGTTTCAAATAAAAAAAAAAAGGAGGGGGGAAGTAAAACTGCTAAACGAAACCCAAAAACATCGATATTTACTCCCTGACACACCTGATTAAAAAGAAAAGAAACAAAGAAATAACTTTGCAAGTGGGAAGTAAAATGGAGATTAAACCCTGAGGTTATGTACAATTATAAGCAATACACTTGAATAGTCATTAGACATTGATGCATTTATATCAAAATAGATGTAAGAACAACTTCAAAAGTAATAGAAGGGGGCCTCCCTCGTGCTGTAAATGTTAATTATGCTGTGGCTGCTATGGCCTGAATTAGATCCCCTGCCAGGTAGCTGGCCCTTCTGTCTCATATACTGCTCCTCTCAATTGTGTAATTCAGTAGATCTGCCTGTTCTGCTCCCTGCTCTCTCTCTGGTGAATCCTCTCACTCCACCCTGCCCCCTGCCCCATCTCTGGCCTACATGCCTACATCCCAGTTCTTGTATACATAAACAAATAAATTAAATATATATATATATATATATATATATATATATATATATTAAGTAATAGGAGGCCCTCCCTGGTGGCACAGCAGGTTAAAGCACAGCACTAAGAAGCTAAAGCCACTTCAGCATGAGTTCAATCCCCACCCCAGAGGTGATCGCATGGCATGGCAGACCTCTCCTGACCCACCCGTTGCTTCCCTCAGCACTGTACTTCGTAGATTTGCTTGTTCTGCTCCCCACTCTGTCTCGAGTGAATCCTGTCACTGCCCCTGCACCCCAACTATGTATGCATAAATAAATCTTTTAAAAAAAGTAATAGGGAAAGTGATCAAAGAATGACCATATTTTATAAATAATCCCTAGGTGTTTTTGTTGGTAAAAACTATATAATCTTAAATTATTTCTCCCTTTTAAAAAATCCCTTTTTGAATTCTGATTTGAAATGGATTACCTTGCAGAATACCTAATGCATTTACTCCACATCAAGAAAATATCTCCTTAAGGAAACCCAGGAAATAACTTAATATACCATACAGCTTGTATCAACTTATCACCAGAGGACACTGCATTATCACCACACATCTGCATCATTTAAGGTGGATGACTGTGGATGACTGTGGTGTTGGACAGAGTTCAGAGAGGAAGCAGGGGCCCACAAGTGCAGCAGTGGCAAAGTACACGGTCACTCCACTGCCGATTATACTGGAGCCAGGAACACAGCAAGGAGAGACCATATTTCACAGAAGTTCCTGCAGCGGTGGCAAGGACCCACAATCCCCTACAATCTGGAGACAGAGGACAGATTCTGAATATCTGACGATTTTCACTGTCTGGAATGTACAGCAGAGGCCACTTTTCCCACCCCTAGGAAAAAGCAGGGAAGCTTGTTCACAGGAGCCAAAAATCAACCTTCAGCAGCTGCAGAACCTACACTACTTCCCCTTGGATCCTAGCCCACTACAGTTTGGCAGGAAAAACTGGTAGCCGAGCTGGCAGTGATCTAACTTTTCTGGGGACACGGAGGGCTAGATCAACATCTAAAAAAAAAAAAAGCCACCCCTCCCCTTTCTGGGATCCCTGGGCTTTCCTGAGTTCCTAGACCACTGAAGCCAAGCAAGCACCACCTACTATAAAGCTCACTGAAAAGTGGGCAGGAGTTGATATACATTTTATGCTGCTGGTGGCTAGTTTGGCAGTCCCAAAAGACACATGTCCCTCTCTCCTGGGACTCCGGAGACTTTCCCTCTGTTCCTAGTATGCTATAGGCTAACTACCATTGCCTCCAAAGAGTCAGAGAAAGCATTTGACATTTATGATAAAAACACTGAAAAATGGGGATAGAAGGAACACACCTCAATAAAGGTGATATATCACAAACCTATAGCAAACATCATTCTCAATGGTAAAAAAATGAAAGCATTTACTCTCGCATTAGGTATAAGAAAAAGATTCTTACATTCATCACTACTACTCAGCATAGTAGTAGAGTTCTAGCTAGAACAATTTGGTGGAAGACAATTAGAAAAGAAGTAAAAGTGTCACTATTTGCAGGTGACATATCAATATACATTAAAAACACTAGGGACTCCACTACAAAATCATTAGAAACAATAAATGACTACACTAAAGTGGCAGCCTACGGAATCAATATGTAAAAAGTATGTTGTATCCCTATATGTAAACAACAGGCTAGAAGAGAACAATTATTAAAACTACAGTTTGGGAAAACTTATTTATAACTATGAATGGGATTAGTGTCCTTATAAAAGAGACTCCAGTGGCCCTCCCTGGTGGCGCAGTGCGTTAGGACTCAGCACTGCAAACTAGCAAAGCCACTTCAGTGCACGTTCAATCCCTGGCCTAGGAGATGATCCACATGGGCAGCAGACCTCTCTGACCCGCCTGCTGCTCCCCTCAGCAGTGTACTTCATTGATCTGCCTGTTCTGCTTCCTGCTCTATCTCTGGTGAAGCCTCTCACCACTTGCACCTCTGGTTTGTACCCCAGTTCTGTATGCATAAATAAATCTTTTTTTAAAAAAAGAGAGAGAAAGAACGAGAACTATCTTCCCCTTTCTCCCATATGAAGACATAGCAAGACGATGGCTATCTATGAACCAAAAGTCAATCCTTCACCAGACCCCAAATTTGCTGCTGTCTTGACTTTTGACTTTTTACCCCCAAAAACTGTGGAAAACAAAGGTTTATTATTTAAGCCACTCAACTTCTAATATTAGTAATGCAATTATAATTATTTTAATATCAAAGATGAAAATATATCTCTATATACAAGATGCTGCTCTATCTAAAATAAGCTGATGTCATGAACAGAAATCTGACTCCCATGACTTCATCTATGAAGATATTCTCTGTATAATCCACTCCTTTTGAGTGTTATGGGGCCTTATGAATTGGGGCCTTATGAATTGCTTCTAACATACAGAATATAGCAGAATATAACCTACAGAATATAGCAAAGTGATGAAATGCCACACACTTTATAAGACTGAATTACATATATATATATAAACGCCATAAGATGTCTTTGCTGTGGTAGAATAAACAGTAGATAAGACTGTTACATTATATAAGACAGCCTCAGCAAACAAGATTCTGGAAAGACTTTAGATGAAGCAAGTTGCTGTGGTGAAAATTGCCTAAGGAGAAAACCACATGGCTGAATCCCCCAGTTCTACAATGGTAACTAAAATTTACAACATACTCTGGAGCTTAGAAGAGGATCCTGAGTCATATAAGAGTTTGGCCAAACCTTAATGGCAGCTTGGTGAGAACTTGAGTATGAGATATGTCTAAGAGACGATCAGACTCCTAACACCATAAAGTTATAAATTGTTTTAAGCTGAAAAGTCTGTGTTAATGTGTTGGGTAGCAACAGAAAAATAACACCATAAAGTCCTGCGTTGGTATTCAATATTTCAAGTAATACTCTCATTTTCTTCCCAAATGTACATAATCTAATTCTTGAAACATGCAGGTGAATGATTCCAGTCACGCATCAAAATTGGTGAGCTGATTCTGGAGTTATTGAGAAGTTAACATGTAGCAAAAGAAAAATTTTGCTACATTTTGACTTATAGCAAAGTCAAAATGAAATAATGTTTGCTTGAATTCCTTTCATTACATTACATAAAGAATATATTACCATATAATATACCATTCTGAAGAAAATTGTTCAAATTTGTTTCTTACACTATTTGTCTTTTTAAAATACATAGTTCAAATGGGTGAAAAGAACATGTCCAATATCACAGAACTAATGAGGTCCTGTTCTGACTACAAATATACTGTTCTTTCCTCTATATTTTTTGTAATTGAATAAACAATGGTAATTTCAACACCTTGATAGTTAATATGGTGGGTGTTACCATTTTATTTTCTGAAACTTGCTGAGAACATTAAACCAACAAGGAAGAAACATCTTACAAAGACCTTGAGGACACTCCCTTCCCCCCCCCAACACACACACACCTATAGTCACTTAAATGCCAATGTTGTCTATATATAGAAAATTATCAGAATGCTTATTCATCAAGTATGGGTGCATAGAGAGATCATGTGTTACCTGTATTTGCTGTAACTCTTTTGATTTTGAATCTTTCACTAAAAACTTCTTCCTGTAATTAAAAATGGCTTGAAATATATCACCTTCTCAATTGTATGATCACTTTGCTTTCTTGAGGAGTGCTTAATTATTATAAAGAAATTAAAATTTTCAAAAGAAATTTGTATTTTTAAAACCATAAAATCCATGTAGGTTATATGATAAATAATTGAATGACATTTATCAAGCTAACAATCTTAGTGGTATAATTTAAATATGAAAAGGTAAAATGGAGCAAGATTTTTCAAAGCACATTGGTTATTTTTCCTTCTCGATTCATCTTTTGTTCTCTAACTTAAATATCTAGATCAATTATCTGATGAGCTTAGTTTCAGAATTTAGGAAAAGCTACATAGCTTTTAAAATTATGTGTCTATATTAGAATTTGAACAAACAAATTAAAAGTGTAATGATGATTCTATTAAAGAAAATATACACTTACTTAATCATCACTTTAAAATAATCCACATATAAAAAATAGCTATTTTTTTTAAATAATTACAATCAAGAAGTGTAGTATAAATGCATAATCCAGACCAGGGAGTTAACATGCAAATTACAGGTGGTTACTGAGAACATCAAAGTAATAATATACATCAATTGTTAAAAAAAATTATTTACAGATATTTTTCTCTCATTCAGCTAGCCCATTTAAGCTCTTATTCTTCCCTTTTCACCTTTCTCCCACAATCATATCCTGAGTCTGCTTATACACATTTGCTATTATATTTTATAGAAACCTGTTAATGTGTTCATATGACCTCAAAAATGCCCTTACATAGTGAAAATATAAATTCACAAGAAAAGTATTAATATATATCTTCATGCCTTACTCTTCTGAATTTGCCTGTTTTCCCTTGTCTTTTTTCTTCTCTCCTTTTGCTGTTTTCTTTGTTTGTGTAGATGTAGGCTTTGTTTTCTGTGTAATTTTAAACAAGTCAGAAATTATTAGAGTGATAGTAAACTAAAGGTAATATATGAAAAATATACATTACTAAGATTCCATTTTACATAGAGGAATCCCATGTAAAAACCGTTGCTCTCTAGAACAGAATAATTGTAGCTTACATCAGAACTAAAGATACAATGCAAGAATGCAAAACCAGAAACTACTGGAACATCTTCACATTTAAGAAGTTTCAGAGGTTTTAGATAAGGATCTAACAGTACATGATTAAAGTGTTTCAAAATTCTTATAGTTGGCAAGAACACTCAATTGCTTAATATGATAGTTTACAACTTTACTTTTGTTTTTGTTTATTTTTATTTTCTACCTAAATAGAACTTCACCTAAATAGAAATATTCCTAATTGACCAGTATATGATAGCTCTAATCTCATCTATGACACCTGTGTAGGATCACTGTTTCTCTGTCTTAAGTAGCACATCTCCTGGCACTACTTCTGCTTCCTGTTCTAGCAAGGAAGAAATATCAAGTTACAACTTTAGTAGATTCCAGAGTATTTTATTTCACCTTATGATGGCTAATAAAAATACAGCAGTCCATTTGACTGTTGTGTATAGTTGAAATTTACAAACTACATAAAAAATGGCAAAGGGGAATGAAAAAAACAACAAATCTTACCCTTGGTATTTCTCCTCACTCTGCTTAATATAGTGAACTGGGACATATACTACAGTCTTACAAGAAATAACAAAATATTCATTTAAAATATATTTGTAAACCCTACATTATTGATCATTTATTAAAACTAAATATTTGTTCTAGAAATATGTTCCAGAATGTTTCAATTTTATGTGTGTCGTTCATCACATTCTTTCCATTTCTATAGCTCTTATGGTAATTTAGAAGATAGCATCATTAATTTTTAAAGTGCAGCTACTGCCAGCTATTAATATTGAAAAGGTATTATAAAATTTTTATCTTTGATTTTTCTCCTAAACTAATGGGTTTTTTACGCACTATATGTAATTTCAGACACTAAAATTTAACTAACCTCTAAATTCTTTAGCTTTTGTAGTTCATTTTCAAGTGACTGTTTCTCCTCTGATAACACTTGGAGATCACTTTCCATCTGTTTGTATTTCTAAAAATATATATGTATAATTTTATAATAATGAAAAGCAAGTATTTCAACAAAGATAAGTTATAGAGTACTTATTTATTAGAATAAATTCTTCATTAATTCATGATAATTTGAGCCATTGGTAGTTATATGTACAGTGAAGCTAAAATTAGGACTGAATGAGGCAAAACAACCATAAGTGGCAGTGCATGGCAGTTTGGAAGATTGTGGAATGTTTTTGTTCAATATTTCAGTAGTAAAATGATTCTGAAAGATAGTAAGGTCCAATAAAATCAGAATAATGGACAAAGCTTTCCAGCTCACATGTTCATAGAAATCTCTTGAATAAACTGTGTAAGCAGCGGATCTTTATTTAAGATTATGCATCCTGACAATTTCTAGATTCTATTAACATCAGTGTCAGAGTACAATTTTAAACAGAGAGTGCTTTACTTACAGTTTCTAACAAACTTTGTTCATTTACAGTTCTGAAAAATAAAAACCAAAAATATCTACAATGTATCATATTTTACTGTTTACATTTCTACATTGCCTTTAAAAAAATAATACAAATAAAGTGAGGTATACATTTTGACAGCTATTTCAAATGTCCGTTGTTCTCCCTAGAGATATTAGACTGCAATATATCTTGTTCATGAATTTATATAATAATTTGAGTATCTATTCAATCCTGTAATTTCTGTTAGTGGGTTAGATATCTTTCACTTTCTTTTTCATGTGAATGACTTCACTGTATATATTGTACTCAGTTTATTTTTTTTCATTAAACACGTTTCTTATATTGCTTATATTGGTAAGCATAGGTCTGCCTCACTTCTTGAAAATACCACTTCATAGCATGATTTAGTAAAATCTCTGTAAGCAGTCGATAAATATCTTAGGCTTCACAAACCAAACTATCTCTGTCACTGTTACCCAACTCTGTGAAAGCAGCTATACGTGATAATTGAATGAGTGGATGTGACTATGTTCCAGTAAGACTTCATTTACAAAACAAATTGTATCATAGATTTGACTCAGGACTGCAGTTTCCTTACAACTGTTCCATAGTATAAACTATAGATTTTTTTTTCACAAATAGCTTTAAATTTATTGTAATCAGAATTTTTTAAAGCATTAAGATATGCTTAACATGGTAACATTTACTCATTTGAAGTGTAGAACTTAATGACTTCTAATATTTTCACCAAGTTGAGTAGCCATTACAGATATCTAAACTTAGAATATTTTGGAACATCTGTACCCTTCTGCAGCCACACCCTGTTTCTACCAGCAATGCCCCATACCTGATATCTACTAATCTGTTTATCTCTATAGATTTGCCTGTTCTGGATATTTCATATAAATGGAATTTTTCACTATATGGTCTTTGATACTGGCTTCTTACACTTAATGTTTAGTTTATCCATGTTATAGTACATTTGTACTCTTTTACTTTTTTGCCAATTTATAATCCATTGTCTGCATATACACATTTTATCTACTTATCAGTTTAGGACATTTCTGTTATTTCTACTTTTGGCTAATGTGAATAATAACAAATATATATATACAATCTTTTGTGTAGACATATATTTTCATATCTCTCAGGAATAAACCTAGGAAAGGAATTGCCAGTTGTATGTTAATAATATATTTAACAATTGAATGTTTTCCACAGTAGGATATGTTATTAGTTAAATTCCTACCACCATTGAATGAGGTTTCCAAAGTCCCTACATACTTGCCAACAGTTGTTAATTGTCTTTTTTATTATAACCATCCCAGAGTGGGTGAAGTGGCACATCCCTGTGGTTTTGATTTGCAATTCCCTAATGACTAATGATATAACATCTTTTCATGAACTTATTGACTATTTAGGTATCTTGTTTGGAAAAAAAATAAATGTCTATCTTAATTGTTTTCCTATTTCTAAATTGAATTATTTATCTTTTTATAGTCTTCATATATTTGAAAAACAAACTCCTTCTCAGATTTACTATTTGTAAATAGTTTTCATATTCTATGGCTTGTCTTTTCACATTCTTGATGGAATCATTTGGAGCACAAAGTTTAATTTCTATAAATTTCAATTTATCTATTTTTTCTTTTGTTAGTGAATTTTTGGCATTTATATTCATGGAATATTCGTATAACTTGTAGTATTTTTGTCTGATTTTGGTATAAAACTAAAACTAGTCTCATGGAATGAGTTGAGAAGTGGTTCAAGTCAGATTAAATGTTCCCTAAAATGTTTATTGATCATTTCTGTCTCTTTCTTAGTTAAGCCATATATATAAACACACTTTGCCTATATTTTGAAGGCTGTCTGACTTTTATGGGGTTATTCTTGTTATCACTCCTTTACATTGTAAAGGCATACTTATTTCACATGGTCCATAGTTTATCTTTTAACTGATTAATTTTAATAGGATGTTTTTAATTTTGATAGAGTTCAATACCTCCCCTATATTTATCATTTTGTTTTCTTACACTTAGGTCTGCAGTCAATATAAAATCAGATTTTGAACCATATGAAGTGGTTCAAATAATCCATTAATTTTTTATTTTTTTTTCTTGGCTAAAATGAATTCCTTCAGGCCCAAATTTTTATGTTGGAATTATAATAGTTCTACATCTACTTTGATGTAACATAACCACCTATAACACATGTACTCAGGCTGAAGACAGTTTTAAAGGCAAAACAGCCCTACTATCCTTCTAATACCTAGCCCTTTTAGAAAAAAAAATCATGATGCATTTTTATAGCAGGTTTATATTCTTTCCAAGATCATACATGATTCTAGTGATATGCAATTTTCTTAGCAATGTTAACAACTTCATTCCCAAGATTGGACACCAGTTCTCCATCCTCTCAGAGGTATTTTCCTTCACAAACCATCCCACTACACAATCTCTATTTTAAATTCTAATTTTCCTGATAATTTCCAAAAAATGAACTATTCAAGGGTTTTCTTAAGGTATGGGTCTTCCTCTTCCACTATTCTGGGTGTATAACAGGTGGTGGGTACAGTAACTGAGGTCTGAAATAGAGCAGCTCCTGGCATATGCTATGGTGGTAAGTCTGACTGGGTACGTGGGCCAGAGGACATGACCTCTGGCAGGCTCCCCAGAAATGGGTCTGGGTCTAGGTTATCAAAATTACATCTTCCTTGATCCAGTTCTATCAGTAGGCATTTAGATTATCTCCAGCTTTGACCATAGTAAATAATTCTGCAAAATAAGTAAAGGTATACATAGCTCTTCAAAATAGTGTGTTGATCTTCCTGTATTTTTCAGGAAAATTCCCAGAAGGGAGGTAACTGGATCATATGACATTTCTTTTGTCTCCATACTGGTTTCCTCATGGCTATACCAGTTTACTCTCACCAGTAGCATGCAAGGGTTCCCTTACTCTATATCCTTTCCAACACCTGCTGTTTCTTTTTGAAACTAGCCATTTTGACTAGTGTAAGGTGACGTCTCATTGCAGTTTTGATTTGCATTTCCATAAAAATAAGAGAGATAATAAACATCTTTTCATGTGCCTATTGGACATCTGTATGTCCTTTGGAGAATGTCTTTTCAGATCCTGGGGTCATTTTAAATTGGATTGTTTTTGTTATTTTATGGGTTTGTTTATTTGTTTTTTATTTGGGATGTTAGATTCTTGTTAGACATGGGCTATATATTCTCCCATTCAGTACGATATGTTTTTGTTTTATGATATTTCTTTTGCCATATATAAGCTTTTCAGTACTATGTAGTCCCATTTATGTTTTGTTTTTGTTTTTTTTTTGTTTTTTTGGTTATATTTCCCTTGTAATTGATATTGAGACTCACATCAAGAAAAAGTAAGATGAAAATCTAATGACCTCAATAGATGCAGAAAAGCACTGAAATTTTTCAAAATCCATTTATGATTTAAAAAAAAAAAGTGTCTCCCTGGTGGTGCAGTGACTTTAAGTGCAGCACTATGAAGCTATCCGCAGCCACTGAAGCACAAGTTCAATCACCTGCCATAGAGCTGACCCACATGGAGTGGCAGATCTCTCCTGTCTTGCCCACTGCTCCTCTCAGCAGTGTATGTCAGCCATTCTGCCTGTTCTACACCTCACTCTGTCTCTGGTGAATCCTCTCACCAACCCCCCCGCAGCTGTTATCTGTACCCCAGTTTCTATGTGCATAAATAAATAGGCCTTGTTTTTTTAAAAGCCCTCAAAAAATTAAATATAATAATAAATATAGTAAAGAACATATATAACAAACCAAAATCTAACATTGTAACATTGTACTCAGTTCTGAAAAACGTAACCTTTTTCTCTAAGATCAAAAACAAACTTACTTCTCCAACTTATTTGACTGTTTTTCAAATATTTTCAACATGGTATTAAATTGATTAGTCAGTGAATAAGCAGTTTCTATAATGAAAAGAGAAAACATTTAAAGGTATTACAAATGGCTGAAATAATATGACTGTACTGATGGGATATACTACTAAATGTATGATGGGTGGCAGAAGTGTCTGCACCCACAACCCCACCAATAGCACATGAAGGTACCCTTTTCTCTGCACCCTTTACAAACACCTGCTGTTCCTACTCTTTTTTATGTAGGTCATTTTCACAGGTGTGAAGTATTATTTGGTTGTGTTTTATATGTAAACAACCCCAATAACATATGTGATGATGAGAATCTTTCCATGAGCCCACAGGCCATCTAAGAAGTCTTGCCATTTGTGATCACAGGGATGGAGGAGGTTCTGCTAAGTGAAACAAGAGAGGAGAAAGACAAATATCAGATGATTTCACTCATATGTTGAGTTTAAAGAAACAAAGCAGATACACAGACAAGATAAAACAAAATGAACCTCTGGATTCTTAAAATAGAACTGAGTTCATCAGAGGCAGAGTGGATGGAAGTGGGAGCAAAGGGTAGCAGGACCCAATGGTCTGTGGTAAATAGCTATTAAAGGGCCCTCCCTGGTGCTGCTGCGGGTTAAAGCACAGCACTGAGAAGCTAAAGCCACTTCAGCATGAGTTTGATCCCTGCCCCGGAGGTGATCCACCTGGTGCTAGACCTCCCCTGACCCACCCACTGTTCCCCTCCGTAGTGTACTTCATTGATCTGCCTGTTCGGGTCCCCACTCTGTCTCTGGTGAATCCTCTCACTGCCCCTGCACCTCTGGTCTACCCCAGCCCTAAATGCATAAATAAATAAATCTTTAAAAAAAAAAAAAGCTAACTTTGGTAGGTGAAGTGTGGTATCCTCCATTTAAAGAGGTATGAATCTATACTCTTAACATACATGTAATGTTGTAGAGCAATTTTATTGCAATAAGAAATAATACAAAAAGAATTAAATGAAAACTCAAGGACAAATGCTTTTGAAAAGAAGTGTTGCCATGTTATTAAATACCTATTATGTATAAGTCAATATGCTATTTTGATATTAGTCCTCTTAGTTCTCAAAATAAGGACAAAAAGGAGAACAAAAAGTAGAAGCTCAGAGTAATTATATAACTAAATCTAAACTGTGCAACTTATAAATGAAATAACTACCCTCCTAGAATTTTGTACCATATGCATGAAAATTGAAGAATAAATATACATTTTCAGAAAAAAAAATATTAAGAGAATTTGTTGACAAGCTGAACTGTAAGTAATGTTAAAATAATGTTTGAGACAAACTTTAAATAGAAAGAAACATAAGGATTAAAAGCAAATGGTTGGAGAAAAAATATGCATGCTGACTTTCATCAAAGAAGGTAAGGATAGCTATATTAATTTATTAAGAATAAATAGGAACATTACAGTTTTACACCAATAAATAATAATCCATAGTGTGTACGTACCTAAAAACAGACTCAAACTAAGAGAGGCAAACCTGACATAATTCTTTTGGAATGTGTTTATGTGGCTGGAAGAAATGTTCCATTGAATGATAGGTAAGTACAGCACATTCTGTTTTGGTCCATGAAGAATCATCAAGGACCAGAATTACCTTTCCACCTCAAACTGACTAAAAACTGGACATAAATATGTGAACCAGCATACTCAAATATTGGAAAGTGTAAGGACTCCATCACAGAAGGAAATCAAAGGAGATGAACCTATGCTGAAACCAGCTTTGCCTGGAATTGCCAGTCAACAGCATAAAAAGGGAAGACCATAGAGTATACTGCTGGGCTCTTTGAATTCAAAGATAGTATTTGAGACTGGAAAACCCAAAGCATCTAGAATTTACAGGGCATGGTATTAGAGAGAAAACTACATAGATTGAGAGGAAGAGCATAGAAATGGCGGCACAACGGGTTAGGACTCATGAGTGCAAGCTAGCCAGTTCAATCCCCTGCCCAGAAGTGATCCACATGGCGCTGCAGACCTCTCCTGACCCGCCCCGCTGCTCCCCCTCAGCAGTGTACTTCCTCAATCTGCATAGTCTGCTCCCCACTCTGTCTCTAGTGAATCCTCTTACCACCCCTGCACCTCTGGCCTGTATCCCAGGCCTGTACCACAGTCTGTATGCATAAACAAGTAAACTTTAAAAAAAAAGAAGAAGAAGTATAGAGCATTCCCTAATGTGGAGAGATGCTTTTGCTTTGCTTTCCACTCCAAAACTCTAGATACCTTCCTACCTTACCTAATCAGTCAGTACTCTCTTTAATCAAACATTTCTAGAGAACTTGGAGGTACAGTCAAATGTAGAGCTACCCTTAGCTTAAACATAGCAACATTCATTTTTAAAGCAGAAGTGGAAAGAGGGTAGGATTCCCATCATATTTTTCTAACTAAATCTTATTTTCCACTTCTAAACAACACACATTTATTGATAATTGCAAAACTCTCTCCATTATTTTTACACAAAGGTAATAGCTCCTTAATGTCAACAAGTAGTCAGAAGTTAGACACAGTAGTTCTATCAAACTATCAGTTCTTTATATTCATGAACTAATAGGCTACAGTCAAAGAATTTAGTATAAGAGATAGATGATCTACTATTCATAGTAACAGAAATCTAAAAGTGACTTCAAATTTACCACTGCCTCAAAATTCTACAACCTCTGCAACAAACAGAAGCATGTTCTAATCACAACTGAAAATCCTGTATCCCAAGTGCTTGCATAGCAATTTTCAAAAGTCAGTTTATTTTTAGCAAATTATAGTCATAATTCAGACTTTCAATGCTTGCTTGATAGCTCAACTGTAACTCCAAACTCCAGGAGAGCTATATATATTTTTTTTAAAGATTTATTTAATTATGCTTAGAGCACTGGGATACAGGCCAGAAGTGTGGTAGGTGAGAGGATTCACCAGAGACAGAGTGGGGAGCAGAACAGGCAGAATGACGAAGTACACTGCTGAGGGGAGCAGCGGGCGGGTCAGGAGAGGTCTGCCACTCCATGTGGGTCAGCTCCCTGGCCAGGAATTGAATTCGTGGTGCAGTGGCTTCAGAGAGCTTCATAATGCAGTGCTGTAACCTGTTACCCCACCAGGGAGAGCCCCTAAGAGCTACATTTTACTTTAATAATTATTACTTTGCATTACCAAAAAATATATACAAAATAATCCTATCAGAAGAAGTTGTGAACATATTTTCCAGTAAGTGAATGGAAACTTACGTGACTTCATTTCACCAACATCCACATTTGCTTCAATTGAGTGTGCCTTTATAAAGTCTGGAATAATTAAGAATTTATAAATTATGTCCATTCATTTATCCATTATGTGTATTAACATTAAATTTAAAATTGGTATTTTAATAACAGTCAAGAAAAAGAAAACTCTACAAAAAAAGCAATAGCTATACTGGAGATCCTCCCACTTGGACAACAAATGGTACTATTTGGAATAATGTGTATTACAAATGAGTAATGAGAATTTGTTTTCCTCTTATTACCAGCTCTACCAAATTTACCAAGTGAAAGAGTTATCAAGTCATACTCCTTTTACTATAGGCACTAATAACATATCTAAATAAATCATCTTCCCTTTCCTATGCCCAGCTCCCAAATCTAGGTTGTACTAGGTGGACAATATAACCTCTCTCAAATTGATCCAACAGTATCAAAATACCAAAAATATTCAGTGGTTCTGACTGTAGGAAAAAATTTCCTTGTTACAATATCCAATACCTGTAACTTGACTCTTTTCTACTGTGCCTCTATATCTTGCTCCATGCTCTAATCTATTTTCTACTAGTAAGTACTTAATGCTTTTGTTCATGCATAGACTCTTAAGATAACAGATATCTCCCTTCTTCACTATCCTAAATTCTATTTATTCTTTAAAAATAAAACTTATGTTCAAATTGAATGAATAAATCATCTCTGTAGTCTAATTGCAAACTTCACATACCTTTATCACGGTTTACAATATATAAAAATGATACATAGTGTGTATCATTGTCTTTACTGAGTTGTGGGTTTACGGGAGCAACAACTAATTTTTATTCAAGTTGTGCACTTCCATGATCTGAATCACAATAAGAACTTTCACTGAAAGTACAGAACTCACTATAGATTATCTTTTTTAAATTTATGAGTGTATTACTTTATGACTATACATTCTTAAGCTGTACGTCTCAAGCTTATAATGTATTTAGGAAAACTTACAAAGTCTAAGTATTTATAAAATATCACCTTGAATTTTTTGCTGTATAATTTCATATCTCTGATTTTCTTCTGGTGTAGCTTCAATATCCCTGTTAAAGTATCAATAAATAAAGCATATTTTCAAATAACAAGACTTTATATTACAATTAAATAATAACTAGTGTATGGCCTAAACATGTACTCTGTACAATAAAATTTAACGTAGTCTTTAATTCTGTTTACAGACACTAATGTATATTAAATAACAGCACATAAGTAATTCTACGTATTTCATGAATATAATTATCTATGTCAAAAACATTAGTTACAAAATTGAAAAATAAATTGAATAGGAACACATGTTGCCAGTGTATTATTTGTTATATAAGTGTTATGCAAATAAGTTTTAGAATTAGACTTCATGGCTCAAAACCTGTTTTAGGACCTCCCCAGTGGTGCAAGGGGTAAAATGCAGCTCTGTACAGCACCACAGCCAGTGCAGCATGAGTCCGATCCCTTGTCAGGGAGAGGACCCACATGGCGCAACAGACTTCTCCTGTCCTGCCCACTGCTCTTCTTAACAGTGTATTTCAGTCAAACTGCCTGTTCTGTTCCCCACTCTATCTCTGATGAATCCTCTCACACACACCCCCATGCCTCTGGCCTGCACCCCAGTTCTTTTATGCATAAATAATTTTTTTTAAAAAGGGTTTTACCTATTTGCTAATTTTGTGGCTTTTGATGAGTTACTTAACCTCCCTGAACTTCATTTTATTGATTGATTAAAATTGACATATTATAGTATCTATCTCATAATGCAGTTATAGGAATATGATACCTACCTACATAATAGGAAACTACCTAGCATACATCAGACACTTACATTTCAGATATTATTATGTGGTTTGAAATAACTTCAAGCTTCACAAAAGATGATTCAAGTGAATGCATCTGAACCACAGAAGCAAGGATCTACTTACGCAGTCCTCAATGGATCCAACTCAAGTACCACTCCCTTCATTGTGTTAAATCTAGTCATTGACAGATGGAGATATCAATAAAGTAACTGAATAATGAATGTCATCCTTCCCAATTGTGGGTACATTCTACTTAGCATGTAAATACAAAATTTTGTCCATATTTATCCAAGAAATAGTTATGTATAAATGTACAATTTTACTTTTCTATGTTACTATACCAGATATCACTGAAAATAACATAATAATAAGGGAACAAATGAGTTGAAGTTGATTTCATTCAGGTATTCATAATATTACATATATTTACTCTTCCTCAGAGGAAATGCATAGATGGGCATGGCTAGTTCTGATCTTGAGGAAATAATAGTCTTGCATAGAAGACTTATACATGAGTAATTAAATTAATAAGACTAATTTATAATAAAAATCATCAGGTATATTATTTAATGTTAAACAGTAGGGGATAATAAAGGTATAACAAAGAGATCACTGTGAGATAAGGTCTCTCAACCACAGCCCACTGACACTATAGACTGGGTAATTCCTTGGTGTGGGGGACTGTCTCTTGCATTTAGAATGCTTTGCAACATATCTGATGTCTAATAGTTAGTGTGAATAGCATTCTCTTATTTTGAACTTTGGTAGCCAACACATCTATAGACAGATGTCCTTTGAAGCAAAAAATAGCCCCCATTTGTGAATCACTTTGGTAAGGCAATAGTTCTAGCATGGCACTCTGTCCGCATCACACAGTTCCACATAAACTAATATGAGGAAGGATTGAAATCACCACCTAGTTAAATTTATACACTGTCAGCTTCCAAGATCTGTCTTCTACATATATAAAAGGTGAGCTGGTCAAATAATAATAAGGTCGGATCACTAACATTGCATCTTTCAAGCCCTTAATAGTGGCTCTAATCTGTACAATTGCTCCAGGAATGAAGGATTGCTTTGGGTGTACTATTTTTCTAGGTTTAGTTGTATTGACATCCACTTAACCTTTCCTGCCATAATAGAGTGGGGTCAACATAACAATGTGGAGATTCCTCCACTAGTTCAGCATGTCTCTTCTAATTATGAAATCCAGGATTGGTTCATGGATCCACCTGGCCCACCATAAGAGATGACAGCTAAAAGTCTATTGATCACCTGATCTCCATAAGCCTCTACTCCGACTGAGAAACTACCTTAATATTTGGGATTTCCTGGAATTAGTGTCATTTCAGAACTTATAAATAGCAATTCCTGAAAAGTCTAATTCTTTTCTTTTCTTTTCTTTTTTTTTTCCAGTTCACAGTGACCCTGGTAAAATGTAGTAGGTTCCTTTGGAGACAATTAAGAGAAAAATTAATGGCCTAACTTTTTAATAGTATATTAAAGTCCTTCTTCAAGGGGCCCCAACCTCTCCTTAATTCAAAGGGTTCTGGGCCTGTATCCTGAGTGAAATCTGGGAATTAATCGATGGACCATAACTCTGTTATTCTGATTCATGTTAAACAGTTGTTCACTTGAACTAGAACTTTTCCATTGTTATAGATCAAGTACAAATTCAGACTGTGAGGAGAGTTTATAAAGCAGATTATAAAAATTTATTTACTTGTGCATACAGAACTGGGATACAGGCCAGAAGTACAGGAGCGGTGAGATGATTCACCAGAGACAGAGTGGGGAGCAGAACAAGCCTACTGATGAAGTATACTGCTGAGGGAAACAGTGGGTGTGTCAGGAGAGGCCTGCCGAGCCATGTAGGTCACCTCCTTGGTGGGGGTTGAACTCATGCTAAAGTGGCTTTAGCTTCTTAGTGCTATGCTGTAACCCACTGCACCACCAGGGAGGGCCTAAAGCAGATATTTTTAAACTAGCAATGTCCAATGGACCTTTCTGATAGTTGCATGTGGCTGCTTAGTTCTTGGAATGATATTAGTAGGAACTAGTTTTTAAATTAAAATGAATTGAACTTGAACTTCAATTGCCTCATGTGACTAGTGACCTCTGTATTAGAGAGCATTATTTTCAACTGTTAAGATTTCAAGTAGGAGCAAACTGACCAAACCTTCTGATTTGATTTTAAGATATGTACTATGTAACAACTAAATCAGCATCTAACACTTGTTACTGATGACATTCACTCTTCTTGTTTTTAATTCTTTTAAGTTATATTGTACTTACTTGGCTTTAGGCAATATGGTTTCCAAGGAGAACCTAGACTTTTGTGTAAGGCGACTTTTCAGCTCTTTAAGTTTTTTCAGTTGATTTATTATTTGTGAAATGCTAAGAATGATAGTATTACTAGGTGCTGGTACTTCTGCTTCTGAAATAAATTGACCTTTATTTATCTGAAATAATAAAATTACCACATTACATATGAAATTTTGTTCCTATGCCTTAAAAAATTTTATGATTTTGTCATATTTAAATAATTTTTTAGTAGTCTTATCTATATAATAATCAAGTACTAGTATGGTACAAACATTCTTATATAAGCAATTATCTAACAACAGAATTATAAAGTAATGGCCTTAATCATTCGAAACTAAAAGAATAAATTTATTATTTTTATAAGAATTTTATTCAAGTTCAATAACACTTGTTGGATTATTTAAAAGCAATTTAAAATATTTAAAATGCTCTAAAATAATTGCCCACCACCAAAATCCTAAGAATTCTCTTTTATGATAAATTATGAAAAGATGGTAATTTCTTTCAAAGCAGTTAATATATGAGTCTTTGGGGCTGGAATTCCTCAGATACATGGGCAAGACTGAGGCTAGTTAAGTATCTCAAGCTACCTGGAACAAAGCCAGCTACAGAATAATGAGTAGTCAGAAGAATCAGTTAAATCCATAGAATAAAATTACAATCACAATTGATAGTCTAGGCAATAAGTCTACTTTTAAAAGTTTAGCCATTATGAGTGCCAAAACACCACAATGAAAGAAACTCAGAGGCAATGTGTGGAGACAAACAAGCAGAATAACTGTAGTGGTCAAGAACTTTGACAGGGAAATGCAAAGTTGTACCCATGTAGACACCTCTGGTAAAAAGAAAAAATGCAAGTAGGGTGGGGAAAAGTAATCAGAGCACAGTCTAGGAATAAACAAAAATAAATACTCAAGTAGGAAATAAGATAAGTCAATGGTAACAGAGAGCAAACACTGAGAAGAGTACTGGAAGTCATGTTGGACAACACAGATCCACCTGGAGGGATGCAGAGATGTGTGGGAACTCTGTGACAAAGCCAAGACTCAAAAAAAGAGGTTACCAGTCAGTAAGAGTCTAAAAGTGGTATAACAAGCAGCTACCCTCGTCAATTTGTTGACTATCATTTAGAAACGTACTGTTTTATATTCTGCCTATAACCTTTGTTATAGAGTATTCTAGACTCTAGAAGAGGTCTCCTATGGTATCTTATCTCCCTAGTTCTGTCATTTCTCTTTCTGTTTAAACTTAGGGCTACACACAGTATACCTAATTGCATTCACCTCTAGCAAGTTCGACCAGCACTATCCCCTTGGGTGGCTTCCTGGCAAAAGTTCTGACCTAGCATACCCTCATAAGTAGTTTCTCTTGAAAATTCCTAGCTAAATCCATCAATGCAGACACTCTCTTGGGAAACTTCCTAGCTTGACAGTGTTGTGCAAAGTTTTCCAGCAATAGATATAGCAACTTCCTGGAATATGGCTTTTCTCAGCACCATACAGAATGGTCCCCTAGTGTGCTATCCTCATAGACAGCTTCCCAATGAGTTCCACTTCTGAAATGGCACCCCATTAAACTTTTCTGCAAGCTGGAAACATTAGTTGCTTCCTTCTTTACACAGTCTGGATATTAGCCCCATGTTAGGGTAAAGGGAAAGATAAGAGGGTATTCATTTTTTTCCCATTATTGGAATGCTTGCTTCCACTCTTGAGGATCAAGCTGTTTCTTGCCACAGTCAGTCAGTTATCTGTGGCTTCTGCACAGATATTATTGTGCATATAGTAAGCATAATAATCCTTTACCAGATTCCTTTTCCTGTTAAAGACGCAGATTTCTGAACTACATACACAAATTATTTTAACTCAGTAACTCTAATTTGGAGTTCTAAAATGTACATATGTAACTGTTACCTCAGTGATATTCAAATATGTTCCATCACTCTGACACCAAGATGGTGACAGAGGAAGTTCCTTGTTTTGCTCCCAAGAGGAGCACCCAAGAGTTTATCAGAAGTACACTAGAGAATTTAGTGCCATTAGGTGATACTGAAATCCCCTTTTGGACATCAGAGGAGAGTCATGCTTCATTGAATAAAGCTGTGGTCCCTCAGAAGAGAGCACTGATGGAGAGACTGCTAGCTCAGCCAGGAGGTTCTGGAGAAGGGGGAGTGAAATATGTGGATGCACACACCTTTCACTGGCTATAAACATGTGCAGAGGAGTTGAGATCCTCCCTACTGATCAGCTCTCTAGTAAGAATAGAAACTTCCTGCCTGTTCTTCCTTTCCTCCAAAATTCAAATTTTGTACTGACCTCATGAAGACTGACAGCACACAGACTACAGAGTCTCAGTTCTGGAACCCCAGAGAGGAAGGATACCAGCATAAAAACAAATGCAGGTCATCCCTCCTCCACTAGAACCCTCCAGATCACGCTCCAACCCTGCTAACTCAGCAAATGTAAAAACAGGCCTCAATGCCTACAAAAACAGGCAAAGACCAAATTAAGTAAAATAAAACAATAGCACCACCTGTGGGAAAAATAAAAGTAGTTCAACAATCTAAGTTTCTGCTATAGATGTTTATAAGGAAATTTATATCAGCAAAATGGGCAGAAAAATACAATAGTGACACCTTGAGGTCTCATGGAAATATACTATCACATGAAGAAAACAACTACCCAGAATCTAATCGTGAAGACATTTAAGCTCAGATCATATTTTGAATAGAAAATTCAAAATTGCTATATAGCAAAAATCAAAGAGAAAAAGCAGAAAGGCAGTCAAAGTAATATAACAGAAATCAAAGAAGTCAGAGTTACAACAAATTTCAGAAAAATGAATAAGCTCAGGAATAAATAAATAGAAAATAAAACTTTAAATAAGAGCATAACAGAGATTCAGGAAGTAAAGAACTCTATAAATGAGATAAAAAAAATTCCAGAGAAAACTACTGAAGTACAATAAACCAAATGAAGGTTTGAATCAGTAATCTCAAAAAAAGTGGTAATGCACAAAGGACCCAAGTGGTAGAAGAGAGGAAAAAGAAGATGTTAAAAGGGGAGAAAAAAGATCACTCCAAGAACTATCCACTCTATTAAGTATGGCAACATAAGAACAACTCTGCAGAATCTGGAATGGGTATTCCAGAGGGTAAGAGAAGGAGGGGGTGGGGGGGAAATAGAGAGCTTACAATAATAGAAAGAGGTGTAAGTTCCTATTTCAAATATGAGAGACAAATGAAAACCTTTGTAGAGAAGCAGAAGATGAGTTTGCCAACATAGAACTTACCTACAAGAATTTTAAAAGAGTTCTCCAACCTAAATTAAAGAGAAGAAAATCCACATACAAATAAACTAAGAAACAGAGCAACAACAACAAAAAATACCTGATGATAGGCCCTCCCTGGTGGCGCAGTGGGTTAAAGCGCAGCACTGAGAAGCTAAAGCCACTTCCGCAAAGTTCGACTCCCCGCCTGCCGGGGAGGAGACCACATGGTGTGGCAGACCTCTCCTGACCCGCCTGCTGCTCCCCTCAGCAGTGTACTTCATCGATCTACCTGTTCTGCTCCCCACTCTGTCTCTGGTGCAAAGCCTCTCGCCGCCCCTGCACCTCTGGCCTGTACCCCAGTTCTGTATGCATAAATAAATAAATCTTTAAAAAAAAAAAATACCTGATGATGAAAGGTCAGTGGCAAGCCCTTACACATCAAAAACATGTTATAGACTGAATGCACCAATCAAAAAGAACAGAGCTACTGGTTGAATCAGAATCCAGAAGGCCCATCTGAATTCCAAAGATAAATATATACTCAAAGTGAATGGTTGGAAAACAATTCTACAGGAAATAGATAACCTAAAAAAGGCAAGAATAGCCCTACTTATAGCAGATAAAATAGACTTCTAGCTAAAACCATGGAACAAGAGAATGTTTACACATTATAGAGTGATAAGGGATCAATTCATGAGGAGTATTCATCAAAGTGTATTCACCAAAACAAGGAAAATCAAAACAGATAAATCAATATTACTAAACAAATACATCAGAAAAATAAAATGCTCATTAATACATATGAGCTAAATGAAGGAGCACTAAAATATATATAATAACTATTAATAACCTAAAAATAGAAATTGACCACCATATGGTAGAGAGCTTCAATACCCCACTTACATCAGTGGATAGATCAACCAGATTAAAAAAAAAATTAACAAAGAAACATAGCCTTAAATGAAGAATCAGGATCTAGAAATTTACAAAAAAACACAACAAACAAAAACTCAAGTATTCATGATACATGTTCCAGATAAACCACATGATAGGTCATAAAAAGTTATCAATAAGTTCATGAAAAATGAAATCATAGCAAGTATCTTTTTTGATCATATTGGTATTAAATGAGAAATCAATGATGAAAAGAAAACATGAAACAATCTTTACTATTTGGAAGTTGAGCATCACATTACTAAATGACCTATGGATTAATAAGGAAATTAAAGAAGAAATTACCTGGATACAAATGAAAGTGAAGAACTTAACAGAACATAATTAAAGCAGTACTAAGAGGGAGCTTTATTGCAGTGGAAATCCTCATCAAGAAACAAGAAAGGACTCAAATAAACATTCTAACATTATACCATAAAAAAACTAGAAAAAAAAGTAAGTGAAACCAAAAATCATCAAACAAAAGAAATAAAAAATTAATGTGGAAATAAATGAAATAGAGGTCAATAGTTCAAAAGATCAATGAAACCAAGAGTGGTTCTCTGAAAATGCACAAACCTTAACAACAGTCACTAAGGAATTAAAAAAAAAATGGAAGAAAACTCTAATAATAACTAAAATAGAAACAAAAGACAAGTTACTAGAAAAATATCAGAAATTTTTTAAAAAATCTTAAGAGACTACTTTGAATGTCTTTATGTCAACAAATTGGAAAATCTGAAAGAAATAAACAAATTCTTTGAATACTGCACCTTTCCAAGAATTGATCAGGAAGAAACAGAAAACCTGAACAGACTAATCACAAGCAAGGAAATTGAAAAAATAATCAAAAAGATTTCAAAGAAAGCCCAGGCCAGCTAGTTTTACTAGTGAACTAGTTGACTAATCCATCAGAGGGGATCTAATACTTATACTTCTCAAAGGTTTCCAAGAGTTTGTAATATCCGAGGTCTACAAAAAGCTCCTAAATTGTGGCTTCCTGGGTGGTACAAAGGCTTAAGTCTCAGCAGTATGACACTATCCACAGACACTACAGCATGAGTTCAACCCCTGGCCAGGTAGCTGATCCACATGGCACAACAGACCTCTGCTATCCCACCTGCTGCACCCGTCAGCAGTATATTTCAGTCATTCTGCTTGCTTTGTTCCCCACTCTGTCTCTGGTGTCACCCCCCACACCTCTGGCCTGTACCCTAGTTCTTGTATGCATAAATAAATCTTTTTTTTTAAAAAAAAAAAGCTCATAAATTGAACAAGAAAACACATAACCCAATCAAAAAAACAGACAGAATACACAAACATTATCCAACAAAGACATAGAGATGGCAAACATATGCATGAAAAAAATATTCATCATCATTTAGTGTTAGTGAAATGCAAGTCAAAACTGCAAGGAGATACCACCTCACATGTAAGAATAGTCCATGTCAAACAACTGGGGGCGGGGGGAAGGTTTGCAGGGTTGTAGAGAAAAAGCAACACCGTACTTTGTAACTGGGAATGCAGACTGATTCTGTTCCTATGAAAACAGTATGGAGTTGCTGTGGAAAGCAGTGTGGGAGTTAAAGTATTTCAAATAGACCTACCATATGACTGAGCAATTCCACTCCTAGCTATCTCCCTGGATACTAATTCCAGGCGATACATGTACTCCTATGTTCAGTGCAACATTATTTACAAAACCACGTATGGAAACAAAATAAATGCCCATCAAGAAAGTAGTGGATTAAGAAGTCATGTTATATATAGACAATGAAATACTGCTTAGCTAAAAGAAAAAAATTCTTCAGAAATGAGGCAGTCAAGGACCTGAAAGATTGACAAAAGAAATTGAGAAAACAGGAGAAACATAATAAACATAAAAGAGTAAAAAGAGGTTATTAGATGAAAATAAGAAAGCAGAAAATTAGCTGTATTTCCCAAGTTCCAAAGAAGCATTCATTTTACAAGACAGTAGGGGAATTGTGGACTTTATCCAATTCTATGTCTCTGAAAAGATAATGACTAATCTGTCACTATCTAAGAAGAGCCAATCACACTCCATTGTGGGTCATCTCTATCCAGAAACAAAGACTGTACAGACTAGGAAAGTCTTTTATTCTGGAGCCAGAGATAATATAAAAAGGTGCCAGGAGGCAGATAAAATTTCTATCTTTACTCTTTAAGTTTATATGCCAAATAAAAATCTCTTTAATTTAAAGTGTCTGAATTTCAGAATGTTTCATTGGACTACACCTTAAGCATAACACTGAAATTACCCTGACAATCATTCTGCCACGGGAATAGCAGTCAGTATCATTTCAAAATTAGAATGAAAAGACCCTAAAGATAGAGACTGTAGTCCTTACACCAATGGTAGGCACCTTGAAACCAAAAGTACAAAAAGTGATCATTTAAAACATTAAACTTTAAGAAAATCAATATATAATTTTATGATTAAGCTTATTGCCTATGCATGCTTTTTAAAAAATAGAAATTTTTAAGTTGATCAGTTTTATCACTTTTATGTAAATTAGGAAAATAAGAAATTTCCATCATTCAATATTAAAGAAAAGATATATCAAACTGAAGGCACATCGTCTGTAAATCACTGAAAAAATTATCCAGTTATTCCTTTTTACTTAAATTTAAATATTACTTTATAACCTGCTGTTAATAAAAACAACTTAACTTATACTTCTAGCTTTCAAAGAAAATAAAATAATTTAATTAAAAATTTTAAATGTTATATTTACCTCTTCCATCTGATTAACTTGCTGTTGAAACCACTTTTTAAAAAAGGAAATAGAAAAAATTATTAACAAATTATATCTCTGCAGTGAAATAAATGTATGTACATGTATCTTCATTTATCAGATTTTAACTCTGAACTAAACAGTATATATCATAGGGTTCAGAATGGAACTAGTCCAAAATATACTAGAGCATACAGTTTTTAAATGTAAGCAAATTTAGGAGTTCATTTTGCATCTTCAAAGTTTAAAAACTCTGCTTCATTTAAACATTATATGTATCTGTGTGTGAGTATATATGTAATATATTTTAGTAGATTAAAGCTGCAATATATTGAACATACCTTGAAGAGAGATTCCAAAATCTGAAAAATAAAGTTTTAGATTAAAATATTTAAAAATAAAATTCTTCTTAATGCATGATATGATGAAAATATTTAACTCATCTCATAACTTTCAATCATAAAGTGTGTAAATTATTAAAGAACTATAAGTCTCTAGTCAGAAATCTCAATACTTTTATGAGTTTTCAGTACAACTTGCATAGTTCTTTTTCCTTAGTTCTAGAAAAAAACAATTTTCCAACTTTATGTATATGCATTAGGAGACTCAAGTAATTCATATATAAGATTTCATATATTTATTCAATATAGGTAAGGAATAAAATTTAAAATTTTCACATATTATATATGTATAATTTCATGTAATTTCAGATAATAATGAAAAGCATTACCTTTTCAATATAAATTTGATCCACTAAAGGGCACATCTAAAAATACTACTACTTGATATTTTTAATGGAAAATGCACAATAGTGAAAGAAACGGATATACATCAAAAGTCAAAAATGTGAATTTGCCATCTAGAAACGTAATGTTGAAATGATTGTAATTGTTACACACACACACAATTCAAATCAAATAAATGATTGTGTATGCAATGGAATATTTTTCAGTCATAAAATAAAAGAAGGAAATCCTGTCTATAGTGATACTATATATGAATTTGGAATATATGCTAAGTGAGATAAGCCAGACACAGAAAGACAAGTATTACTTGATCTCATATATAAGCAACAGTGAGGATGGAAGGAAGGAAGGAGAGTAGGAAAGAAGTCTAACTCAAAGTAACAGAATAGAAGGATGATTATCAGGTACTAAGAAATGAGGTCATAGAGAAGTCTTATTTAATGCATACACAGTTTAGTTTTTTACACGACGAAAAGAGTATGAGATGATTGCTGTGACAGTTGCACAACAATATGAAAATACTCTGAACTGTACACTTAAAACTAGTTAAGGTACTAAGTTTGTAGAATGTATATTTTATACAATAGAAATAATTGAGAAAATGTAAATGCAAATGTACATATAATTGTGTGACTGTATAGGTATATATGTCTGTATATATGTCAAGCACTATAAAATATATTCTTATAAAATATATTCTTAAATTTTAATGGTGCTAATATATTAGGGATCACAGACAATTTGCTGTCCAATGTACTTTTTTACTTTAAAATGTACCACAATATTTTTTAATTAGAAAAACACAATACATGTTAACTGTCAAAACTCAAAAATAAGAATGAGAATTACCAAATAGGATATATATATAATATGTATAGCTATGAAAAAGCAGGAAGTTAAATAAAAACATGTAAACAATAGTTAACATGTCAATTTACCATCTCCTGGAGAAATAGGATTCTGGTGATTTTCATTTCTTCTTTTGCATGCCTTAATTTAAATTTTTCATTATAGCTTTGAAATTTTGTAATATAAATTCACTTAGGAAAAACAATAAAACATTACTACATATGGATATAGTAATGGCTCAGTCAACAATGTAATTAAAGAAAAATTCATAGTTCTAAATACCTGTTAAGAACAAAAAATAAATTCTTCAAAAACCTTTGTAACTTCTTAAGATACTGCATCTAGACTAACATTGCCAATAAAATGATCACATTCAAGTTCAAGCAACCAATAAATCTTTAAATATTTACTAATAAGTTAATAACTTATTTATGGAAATATTAATTAGCCATTAATGTAGTAATGTTTGCTGTTATTAATATTATTCTTTTTTAATAGGTAAAATTGGCAATTTACACAAAATACATACCTTTTTTTCTTCCTTTAATGTTTCATCTAAATCAACTGCAAATTGTGAAGTAGATACCAAGCTTGAATTCAGGTCATCCCCAACCTTTCAAAAGGATAGGAAAAAGAAAATTACTTTTACTTCAAAATCCATATCCATTTGAATTTTCATATATTTAACTACTTTTAAGATGCTATGTACCTTTAAACACTAAGACAAGAAGCCATTCTCCAAAGACTATATTAGCAAATTCTCCCAGAAAGATTAGATACTTCCTGGGAAGTTATCCATTTATGCTATGACTCAACAATGTCTTTCCTCCCATTCTCCCCTACACAGAAAAATCAAGATCCTAAACTTAAACTTCTGAAATTTACAAGAAGCCCAAAGGAAGGTAACTACTGTATATTATTTATAAGAAAATGACTTCTGATTATAAGTATTCTTGCCATGAGTTACATTATTTTGCTCTTGTTTATGGGCAATAGAAAAACTTTGAGGAAAAAAATAGTTACAAATTAAAATGTCACAATGACTGAATTCCTAATTCTGAGAAATGGCCAATGATAAAAAACATTTTGGATTGTTACAGTATATTCTAAGACAAGAAACTTCTCCAAAGACTATATTAGCAAATTCTCCTATAAAGAAAGATTTCCTCCACATTGCATTTAAACATATTTATAGACTCATACACTTTCTTATCATAGGAAAGACCAATAATCACAGAGGGGAGAGTGGAAATAACTGAAATAATCATTCAGGTGAGTGGGGAAATAAGGGAACTAAAGTACTAACAACAACCATAAACTGAAACCATTAATAAACTGGGATTTCCATCAGCCACAGTCAGATACCACTAATTGAGAGGAAATGGAGATCAATTTGATCAGAGTTGCAATTTAACAAAATGAGGTCAGTAAAAGAAAGACAAGGAATAGGACAAGAGACTAATGAACACATACAAAGAGCAATAATAATGGAAAATGGAATTGAAGCTAGGTAAGAATGGGCACAAAGAGGACCTAGGACTATAGAAGACTCTGGGATCAATGGATGATAGTTCCCAGTGAAGCCAAAGGAGCAGTGGAGTCAGGACTCCATGAGTGGGCAACACTGGAGTTTAGTTGTCAGAGATCAGAGGGATTAAAATTCAAATTATGGAAAAGTTATTGGTAATGACAAGGACGAAATGAAGTCATCTTGTCAGTTGGTGGCTGAGGCAGGATAGGAAACAAGATCATTAAAGGAGAAAAACCCAATAAATAGAAACAGCAGATTGTTGGGAAAGATCTGTTATATGACTTGAAATCATTAAAAAGAATGACGATCGTGGTCTATTTGTAAAGCAAATAGAATATCATATATATATATATCATTCTTCATTTTGTGTATTTTTTCATCTCGGTTGTAACCCCCATGGACTTCCCACCACCAATGCACACATGTGCCATCACCATATTCCCTTGCACTCTTCCTCCACCCCACCCCAGTTTTGATGCTGTCTCCTTGTCCACCCCCTTAAATTGTCTCTGGTTTATAGTTGTTCATTGTTTTTCATTTTTTCTTTATTCCAATTGCTTTTTTTTTTTTCCTGGTCCCTTACGCTCCTGCTATGTGTGAAGCCATCTGGTAGTTTTTTTTCTTCCTGGCTTATTTCACTAAGCATGATCCCTTCCAGCTCCATCCATGTTGCTGCAAAAGGCATGAGTTTATCTTTCTGATTGTTGAGTAATATTCCATTGTGTATATGTACCACATCTCATCTATTTTTGGGTATTTGGGTTAATTCCACATCTTCCCTGTTGTAAAGAGAGAAGCAATAAACATGGGGGGTGTAGGTGTCCTTTTGAGTCAATGTTTTTGTGTCCTTTGGGTAGATACCTAGGAGTAGAATTGCTGGGTCATATGGAAGCTCCATTTTTTTGCAGTTTGAGAAAAATCCACATATCTTTTCCATAATGATTGTACCAGTTTGCATTCCCACCAGCAGTGTAGGAGAGTTCCTTTCTTTCCACATCCTTGCCAGTTTGTTGTTGCCATTTTCACTGGTGTGAGATGGTATCAGTTTTATTGAGGGGGAACATTGCACATAATTAAAATAATGTATAAATTTCATAGACTCCTTTACCAATAAGAATAGCCATGAATCTCAAACAGAACAAGGACAAAAAGTGATTCATTTCCACCCACGGGTGCCACTGAGTAAACTTCATAAAAGTCACCCCCTCTACTGCCATCATATCTAAGAATTTCCCAAGGAGCTAAAACAGCTGCAGAAGCTCTTTGTTTGAGGTTTAAGCTTTGATACAACTGATGAGAATATGAAATGGGAAATGCTCACAGATTTTGCGGTAATGAGGGCTCCAAACACCACGTGATGCAGAGTCTTTGGATGTGTTACTTTGGAGGTGGATGCAGTTATGAATTCAAGATCACACAAATGTACGAGTGTTTTGGAACAAAAGAGGACCATGTTAAAAGCAGATTCTCAAACACTCAGTGCCCAATTAACTGTGAAAAAGATTTTTGTTGGTAATATTAAAGAAGGCATAAAAGAACATCACCTAAGAGATTATTGAGGAGTATGGGAAAATTGAAGTGATTGAAATCATGACTGATTGACAGAGTCACAAGAAGAGAGACTTTGCTTTTGCAACCTTAGATGACCATGGTCCTGTAATCAAGACTGTCATTTAGAAGTACCATACTGTGAATGATCACAGATGTGAAGTAAGGAAAGCCCAAACTCAGCAAGAGATGGCCAGGGCTTCATCCAAACAGAGGTCAAATAGTTCTGGAAATTGGGTGGGTGTCCTTGAGATGGTTTTGGTGGCATAACAACTTTGGTAATAGAGGAACCTTCAGTGGCTCCATGCAGTCGTGGTGGTGGTAGGTACAGTGGCAGTGGGGATGCCCTTAAAGGATTTGTTAATGACAGTGGTTATGGAGGTGGTGGTCTGGAGTAAGCAAAGATTATGGCAGTGGTAGGCAGACTGTGGAAACCAGGGCAGTGGCTATAGTGCAATTGGCAGTTACAACAACAGAGTATGTAGAGGTAGTTTTGGTGGTGGTAGTGGAAGAAAATTTTGGAGATGATGGCAAGTACAATGATTTTGGCAATTATAAATATCAATCTACAATTTTTGGACTATGAAAAGAGGATATTTTTTTATTACAAAAGTTTATTTTTACATCATTTTGTACTTTTGTTTTCCATCTTAATTGTAATCCCCACGGGTTTCCCAGAAAAGAGGATATTTTGTAGGCAGAAGCTTTGGCTCCTCTGGACTAGAAGCCATTGTTTTTGCAAAACCATGAAACCAAGGTGGCACTGGTGATTCCAGCAGCAGCAATAGGTATGGCAGCGGCAGAAGGTATTTGGTGTTTTTTTGTTTGTTTGTTTGTTTTTAAACAAGAAGTTTATTTAAACAGCAAGATGCTTGACTTTCAGGAAAAACTATCTAGTATTCATTTCTTTTAGAGTAATTTATCCCTACGTAAAGACAGATTGCCCTACATGTAACAGCTACATACAAAAAAGTTATAAAATTGTCCTTGGTTTTATAATGATAAATGAAAAACATTAAAATTCTCCAATCGAACAAGGTATGCAAGAATTTTTATGTTGTTCCTTTTTTTGTTAAACATTGAGAGCAAAATAACTTACTGGGATATAAAGATAAGAGCTGAATGAGCATGCCACTAGTGGAGAAAGGGGGTATTTTCACAGAACCAATGTTTTTCCCCAACCCATCTCCATTTGATGTCAATCAAAACATACCATTGGCCATTTAATTAAAAACAAAAATGCAATATGCTTGTGCACATACACCAGTTACTTTATGTACAATAAAGGAACGGAGAAGGGGAAAATGAAAGAATAGAGAAACTATACTGTGGTGGACCAAATTGCGGTTTTCTAATTGAGAATGTCTTCTTGGTCTGGAGGAACAGAATTCTGGAGTAAAGTAGCAGGTTCCCTTTTTAGTAAACACCTCCTGTCTGCTGCTGGAATACATCAATTATGTCTTCATCCTCCGTTTCCAACTGTGCAGGTGTGTCTGTTTCATTGATTGGTTGCCCGTCAAATCGGAATCTGATCTGCCTCATTGACAAACCCTGTCGTTGGCAATAGGCTTTCATTAGTTTACTAAGTGGTGTGTGCCTCTTAATCTTAAACTGCACCACAGAACCATCCTGACACGCCACCTTCATATTAATATGATCGTTGTTCTCAGTCTTGACTACTTCCTTGGGCTTTTCGTCGGCCATAGCGAGTGCCGGAGTCTCCTCAGCTGCCGCTTCACAAAAGAGGTACCAGGGCTGCACCGAATGAGCACACGAGCAGCACCAGGAGCGGCAGAAGAAGCTTTTTTAAAAAGCTTTAAGGTTCTGGGGGTGAGAGGATTCACCAGAGACAGAGCAGGGAACAGAACAGGCAGATCTACTGAAATACACTGCTGAGGGAAGCAGTGGGTGAGACAGAAGAGGTCTGCTGTGCCATGTGGGTCAGCTCCCTGACGGGATGAAACTTGTGCTTCAGTGGCTGCACCTTAACACGTTGCACCACCAGGGAGGCTCCAGCGGCAGAAGGTTTTAATTAGCTACCAGGAAACAAAACTCAGCAGAAAGGGAGAGTAAAAGAAGACAGGGAAGCTGCATGTTACAACAGATTTGTGGTGGCAGCCAAACATTGTGGCAAGCTCTAACTGCTACAAAAAAGACATGTTTTATACAGTACTCATGTATATGAGCAAAAAACTCAAAGACTATACTTCTGACTAATTGTATAACAGGTTATTTTAGTTTTTGTTCTGTGGGATGTATAAAACACTAGGTTGGTTTTTTTTTTTTTTTTTTTTTTTGCACCTGTGCTGTTGATTGTTTAATGTAATGGTCTGATCATGACACTGAATAAATGTGCCTTTAAAAGAAATTGTTGTGCAATCTTTCTTAACGACCCTTAAAAGAGAAGGCAGAAATGTTTCACAGGCAGAAAGATAAATGAGGCCTTAACTCCAGTATTAACTTCCAAGAAAGAAAAAAATATATAAAATAAAACAAGGCTTTCCTTGAGAATACTGAAAAGGAGACAAGACACAAAGAAACTTGATCATTTAAATTCCACAGAACAACACTTATAGATGAGTAAGAAGTAAAACCATATCCATATCTGAAGGAGGCATGGTGGGGGGAAAAAAAGCATATGACCAGAATGTGCAACCAAAAAATAGGTCATTATTGACCAACAAAATTTAGAAAATTGGGCCCTCCTTGGTGGTGCAACAGGTTAAAGCACAGCACTATGAAGCTATGGCAGCCACGAGTTCAATCCCTGGCCCAGTAGCTGACCACATGGCGCGGCCTGATCCGCCTGTTGTTCCCCTCAGCAGTGTATTTCAGTCCGTCTGCCTGTTCTGCTCCCCACATTGTCTTTGGTGAATCCTCTCACCCCCCGCACCTCTGAACTGTACCCCAGTTCTGTATGTATAAATAAATAAATCTTTTTGAAAATTTTTAGAAAATCAACAAAAATCAGTTGAGTCTTTGAGAGACATTTCAATTGACAAATGTATTAGGATAAAGAAGAACTCCTAAAGGAAATCACTCCCCAATCATTTTTTCCACCAAATCCACCCCACATGAATTTACCCATACTGTCGCAACAACAACAAAAAAAAGGTATGAAAGTTCCAAACCTATATAACCATTAAGAATGGTCTAATATCATCATATTAAAAAAAAATAGAAAATCCTAAAAAGCCCACTAGGAAACTAACTGAAAATATAGCAGCGTGACAAGTTATAAAGTCAATTGACAAAAATTAGTTGCATTCCTATATGCAAACAATGAGCTGGAAGAACATGAAATTAAGAAAACAATTCCATTTACAATCACAATAAGAAATAAAAATCCTAAGAATAGACATAGCAAAAGATGTGGAAGGACCTGTATGCCACATTCGTGTTAAAAGAAATAATAGACACAAATAAATGGAAAAATATTCCCTGTTCATGGAATGGGAGAGTTAACATTGTTTAAATGGCCAGTCATCCAAAGCAATATACAGATTCAATATACCCCTATACCATACCATATGCAAAAATGTATTCTAAATGGATGAAAGACTTGGAACTAAGTCCTGAAATCTGGGGCTACATCAAACTAAAAAGTTTCTGCACAGCAAAACAAAAAGACTCCCTACTAAGTGGATGAAAATATTTGCATACCATCATCTGACATGGGACTGATAGCAAAGTCCTAAAAAATATGCCTTAAACTTAAGTGCTGACAGAGGATACAAACCAGTACACAATTTGCAAGTTCCCAAAAAGGATCTTATTCATGGATTTGTTTCATTAAGAAAAAATATAACCTCAAAAAAAAAAAACAGCCTTGTTCAGTATATCCACATTAGTGTAACATGTACTTACAGACAAAGTTAGTTCTTCACTTCCGGCCTTTGCAGCTGGTTGTTCTCCATTTTGAATGTAAAATCCATAGGTTTTTTCCAAATTAGAAGCAACCTATGAAAAAATCAAGTCAAATTAAGTACTTTCATAGCGTAAAGTTATAGTGCCATAAATATAAATGTTTTAGCTCATACTCCATTTCCTATCGTGACGAGATGAACAACAGTTCTTGACCCTTTCCCCTAGCAATAAAGAGAGGCCTATGGCTCCCACTTCTGTGTTGACAGGTTTTTTAAAAGGAGATGACCTATCAGTGAGTAGTTGAAGGACAAACTCCTCTTACCACCTAACTATTCCTCAAAATCTGATTTCCCCCTTGAAGAAGGGGGAATAGAGATGGAGTCCAAAAAAGTACATTTTAAAAGAAATAGACTTTGCACAAACGTTTACTTTTGAAAGTTTGACAAATTACAATCTTTTTGTATTCATGCCATTCCTTGTTGTTCTCACATTGGTACAGTTACAATTCAATTTTGGATCATTGTGCAAAAAGAAACTGAAACAAAGGATAGTTTTTCCCCCAAACACTAAGAGGCAAAGTCACAAAAGGGCAAGAGGAGCTAACAAGATTGGCCTTGGACTGATATCTCTGAGCTGAAATTTCAGAAAGTTTCCCGTCATTCAATGATAGTAGCAGATAAAAGTGAAAAGTGTGATTTATGCTGAGCACATGCTTTCCTTCAGAAAGTCTATATTTTGGTAAATGTCAAGCTCAGTACCTAAGTGGACTAACTCTCAGTAAAATCCAAACATTGAGTCTCTAATGAGGTTTTCTGGCAGATAATTCACATGTGTTCTCACAATTATTATTGGAAGAACTTAAGCATGTCCTCTGTGATTCCAAAAGGGTAAAAACATGGGAATCTTGGACCTGGTATCCTCCCTGTGCCTTTTGTTGATTTTGGCTGTTATTCTTTCATTTTAACAAATACTAGCCATAAATATGACAATATCCAGCATCCATTATGTCCTCCTAAGAAAGTATTAAACCCAGAGGTAGCCATAGGGACTCACAATACAGGGACCGATGTGTATCTTACCATTTTCAGACGTTTGGTAATTTTCCTGATTGATTCATCCTCTGCTATTAGCTCCTTTGTCTTACTTGATGGAATGGGCAAAGCATACCTTATGATGGATTCTCCTGTGGGTGGAGATCTTAAGACCATTGGTTCAGTGGTCTTATCATGTGCTAATTTTGTAGTATGCTTTTCACTTTTTTTAGGTGGCAATGGTGAATTAAGAACTCTTCTTTTATAAGTTAATTCTGGAACACCTGCCAGTTTATTACTAGAGGCCAACAAATGTTTGACAGGTTTCATTTTATTATTTACTCTTATTCCAAATTATGGATGAAAATTTTATTCCTCCCTGTGAATAAAACATTAAGACTTCAGATTTAAAATGATGACAGCATTATCAGTTGACTTAAAGATGATGAATTCCAATATCAATCCTGAATCCAGATAAGGAAATTTTTCTAACAACAACAAAAAATAACCTTTCAGAAAATTCTAGTGGTAACTGGAGGCTGATTTATGTATGGATAATTAAGATAGGGGCAGATAGAAAGGAAGAAATCAATGACATTAATGAGAAAATATACTTAGAAGTTATTCTTTAACTTTTCCTCAATATAGCCTTTTATTTATCATTATTCCATAGAAGTAACAAAATACGGAACAACATAGAAAAATGGAGCAAAGATTACCAGCATTTATTACATATGCTTGAGCATAAATGAAATGAAACATACAAAATCAGCAATGCAAAATATTAAAAGTTAATATCAGATTTGGAAAAATTATTAGCAATTCAAAAAAATGGGAAAATGTAGGCATACATTGGTTGACAGTATAAGAAACATGATTCAGTTTTTAGAGAAGCAGTTTTGAGAGGCTTACCCAGTATTTTAGGAGTTTGATTATAGGCATGTTTAAAAATTGTGTTCTTTTACAAAAAACACTGATTGATACCTGTACCCCCATGTTTATTGCTGCTTTATTTACAATTGGAAAAACATGGAAGCAGCCCAAATGCCCAAAAGTAGATGACTGGATAAAAAAGATGTGGTACATATATACAATGGAATATTACTCAGCAACCAAAAAAGAGAAACACATGTCTTTTGCAGCAACTTGGATGGAACTGGAAAAGATCATGCTTAGTGAGATAAGCCAGAAAGAGAAAGAAAAATACCGGATGGTTTCACTCATAGCAGGAGTATAATGGACCAGGCGAGAAAATAACAAAAATAATGAACAACCATATACCAGAGACATTTTGTGGGGGTGGAGTGGGGAATGGGATCAAAAACGGGGTGGGGAGAGGGAAATGCACGGGATTATGGTGATGGCACATGGGTGATTTGGTGATGAGAAACCCGCAGGGACTACAATCGAGATGGGAAAAAAATGTACAAAATGATGTAAAAATAAACTTTTGTAATAAAAAAAATTGTGTTCTTTTAAGGTACACTTAAATAAACTTAAGTAAAGATTTAAGTAAACTTAAGTAAAGTTTTAGAAACTATGTGATTTGGGAGTATAGGTTGATACCTCTTCAGATGTATGTTATAACACACCTAAAAACCCACCACCTTAAACCACACTATCTTCCACAATAGTTCATTGGGTCCTTAACTCCTTTACTCCAACATCCCCCTCCAGTAATCTCAATTAGCAATCATATTGCTAAGGTTTATTTTAGTGCAGTTTTGCATATTCCTTTGTTTTTGTTTCTGTATATTTAGAACAAATATACAAAGTGAAATCATCAAATATTTGTCTTTTCCTTCTGATATTTCATTAAGCAAAACTCTTCCATTTCTTTCCATGGTGCCTCATAAGGCAAGGGCTTACCATTTTTTGTTGCTGAGTTGTATTCTGTGTGTGTGTGTGTGTGTGTGTGTACTACATCTTAATCTGCTTATCTGTTACTGGTCTCTGATTGCTTCCAGAGCTTGATGATTTTAAGTAGTGCTATAATGTATATAGGAGTGCAGTTATCCCATTGAATTAATGGGTTTTGAATGTTTTAAATAAATATTTATTTTGAATAACCACCATAGTGTTTTCTGTATGGACTGGACAGGTCTAGATTCCCACCAAAAGTACATTAAGATTCTTTTATCTCTCTGTCCTCAATAATCCTTGTCTTTTCTGCCTTTCTCGTGGCTATAAGGCAGTACCTTATTGTGGTCCTGATTTGCATTTTTGTGATGATAAGTGATGATGAGCATTTTTTCAGATACCTATTGGCCATCTCTGTCTTCACCAGAGAAGTGATCATTTATTTGCTGTGCATTTTATTATGTTTTTTCTCATTCTTGAGTTGTATTTCACTGTTTCACTGTTCATTTGATGTAATCATATTTGTTTATTTTTGATTTTCTGTCCATGTTGTCTTTCAGATCCTGAAAGATATAACTGAAGTCTTTCAGTGTTTTGCCTATGTTTTATTCTTCATCCAAGGCTTTAATCTATTTTGAGTTAACTTTTTGTGTTTCAAGTAAGACAGTGGTCTAGTATCTTTCTTTTGCACATGGCTGTATATCTTTTCCAATCCCATTTGTTGAAGAAATTGATAACTGATTGATGAACTGTGTAAAAATCTGGATGGGGAATATGGAACTAAGATTTAACCACTTGATTTAGTGACATAGAGATGGGTCATTTGTTATCTGAAGGACAGCAACAATTTCAGTGAAATGATGGGGATGGATACACAGTTGAAGTAACTTTTGAATAGAATTGTCCGAAATAGAGGCAATGAATATATGCTAGAGAAATATGCTACCAAAATGTCAAAAGTAATAATGCATTATTAGAGGGAGAAAATGTGGTGAAAAGGCATATTGCTTGGTAAGAAATAGAACATGTTTGTATGCTCTTGTTTGCTAAATTGGTCCTCTTCCCCCACAAATATTCAAATCCTAATCTAGAAATTATAAAGTCCTTATTTGGAAATAAGGGCTTTGTAGACGTAATAAAATTAAGATCAGTTCAAACTGAATTAGGGGAGGCCTTATCTAGTGCCTGGTGTCCTTACTACAACTAAATGCAGACACAGACATACATAGATGAAATCACCATGTGAAGACATAGGTAGAAACTGAAGCCATGTGTCTGTCAGGGGACTCCTAGCATAGCCAGAACCCACCAGAATCTAGAAGCATGGAGCAAATTCTCCTCCAATCTTTGATTTCAGATGTGCATCCTGCAATACTCTGAGAAAGTAAATCTCTGTTGTTTTCAAACTACCAGGTTTGTGGTGCTTTATTACAGCATTCCTAGGAAATGAATGCATACTCTGGTGGAAATGATGCAGTGGAAAGCAAAAACTCAGAAAAGGAAATTGGTGACATGCTATCCTTGAGCAAGCAAGAAGAAATTGGTTTTAGTGCACAAATAGGTCAGTGCATTTTAGACAGGTACAGGAAAAGTTTCTCTATGGTAGAAGTCAAGAAGGCAGAAAGGTGGGTTCCTTCAAGAAACCAGTAACCAAAGCATAGGACACTCACCAGAAGCTAGAAAGACCTGACAGATGGATCCATGATAGTCATACAAAGGCAGAAAGAAAAGTTGCATCCAGAGAACATTAGCATTTAAATGCAAAGTACTTAGAGATTTTACCATTTACTTCATTTAACCCTTTGAATAATTCTAAGGGTTTTATATTACCATAAATTTACCCAAGTTTATCAGTTCCCACCAACAGTAAGTGTTTTTGTGGTCTTCCTTCAAGGATTAAGTTGTTATTTATTTCAAAAGGCCTGCAGTGATCCAGTATACAAAACTGAGGGCGTGGGTGGAACAGAAAGCTATAATTTGCCTTAGATCCTGCATCAAAGAAGCAAAATTGCCAATGAAGCAGTCACTTGGAGGGAATTTTGGGAGAAAAGAGTACTTTTGCTAAAGAATTTAACGAAAACTCTCACAATTCAATGAAGAACCTCCTCCCCGCCCAGTAGTTAATGTACCTGCTGAGGCTGTCGGATGTCCGTTACTGGGTGGTTTTGCCTTGGTGCAGCTGGCTTTAATGTAAGAAAGTTGGTTCTGAGCGTCCCAGGCTCCCTTTAAGAGAGAAGCCTGTAAACCATCCTGAAACCTGCTCTGCTATTTTAAAAACCGACATTTGTGCAGAAAAAAGGGGCCTTTGCGGCCCACAGCGGGCAGCAACGACCTCTGTGGGCTCGCCCGCCAGTCCACCCTCACGAGACGCCCGGGTTGTTAGTTCTCGGTCGGCACGCGCTGCACAGAGCCCAAAGCCACAGAGTGGAAGAAGTGAGAATTTAGACAATTGTGGCATCCTCAAGAACTATAATGTCCGTCCCAAGGGTCTTTTTCTCTTTCTTGCTCTATCGCCTGTGCACTTCTTCCCAGGATGCTTTACAATCCCAGGTCTCTCAGGTATTTGGCATACAGAAGCAAAATACTGTCTGGTTGGCTCTTTGAGAATTTGGGGTTCCCCGGTAAAACCTGAGCACAGGCCCTCATCTGCCATTGTCTAAAATTATTTCGTTGAGTTTTGTGAGCGTCTGATTCCGGACTGTGCAAGGAGGGTGGATTTAGGGCCGGGGCAAGAACAGAGAGGGCAGGAGGCTTAATGGTCTGTGGTGTTGGAGTATGGGGAGCTGGTGGTGGTGGGAATACGTGATGGAGATACCCCAGTGTTACCTCAGTTAAAATTATTATTTTCATTAAATAATTTATTAATAATAAATTCATCTTTATTCATTAAATTAAGTTTATTTTATTTTTTAAATTAAATGTAAATAAATAGAAAGTGTACTAAGCATGAACTTAAGATGAGTTGTTCTACATAAACAGTCTGCTTGCAGGTCCTGTTCTAGGGTTTTCAAAACAAAACAAAACAAAAGACAAACCTCTAAGGACAAAACTCAAATAAAAAAATCAGAAGCAAAAGAGAAATTACAACAGACATCTCAGAAAATCAAAAGGTCATAAGACATTGCTATGCTATAAGTAGACTAGTAAGTTAATAACCTAGAAAAGTTGGTATAATTCCTTAAAAATTAAATTAATTGTGACTGAATCATAAAGAAGTAGAAAAGCTGATCAGAATAAATATAAGTAAGGATTGTAAAAGCAATAAAAAAATCCCCCAAAAATCAAATGTCCAGAACTGTTTTCAATAATGAGTTCTACCAAGGCTTCAAATAGCTATCCTGAAACTGTCCCCAAAAAAAGAGACAGAAGAAAAAATTTCCTAACATATTTTATGAAGACAGTGCTACTCTGACACCAATAGCAAACAGAAATACCACAAAAAAATGGAAAAATAAAAATCAATTTCCCTG